ATATATATATATATATATATATATATATTTTTTTTTTTTTTTTTTTGCATATTTATTATGCTATTCTATAGAGAAAAAAAATTATAAGAAATTGTTCACTAGATATAAATTATACTTAATTACATATCTAAACTTTTACCTAATAAAAACGAACTTTTTTTTTTTTTTTTTTTGCCAAAACGACACAAAGTTTTTCTTAATTCCAATAACATAAATATGTAGTAATAATTTAATTGTCTTACCATAATTAAGATTAGACTGTGATAAATTGGCTTACCTTCGAATTTTTTGGTAGGTGAATCTGGTGAGAAAAACATAAATAAAATATTCCGGAGAAAATACATGTGTTTTTTTTTCATTTTTAATCACGATTTTAATTAAAACAATAACTAAATGTGCATATATGTAAGTTTGTAAATTTGTAAATGGGGAGAAAAGAAAGTTGATTTTCCTTTTTTTTTTAATATTGACATTTGTAAATTTGTAAGGGTCTAATGATGTAATAAACCCATAAAAATATTAATCATTTCATATCCTCTCTTTATTATTTATGAGAATTTTTGTTGAAGATTATTAGGAGGGGTAGTCCGACTAATTAAAGGGAAATTCAGGGTTTAAGTGTAAAGAACACAATCTTCTTCGATACTAAAACTTTTGAAAAAACTAAAAGAAAGATCATCATAACATATGTTTAAAGTGAACAGTATCATGTCATGGTGGACGAACATATAGAGTTATGGGTTAACTTAGTCATGACAGTAAAATCTTCAAGTGTCAAAGAAAGTCGTGAGTCTCGAAAGTATAGTCAAAGTGACTCTCAAGTATCCAACAAATGGTGTTTTTTGTTCGAGGACTATAGAGAAGGAGTCGAATCTCGTTTATGGAGAGACCATTTGATAGCTCTAGAAAATGAAGCCTTTGAGGATGCTCTACTTTGTACTTTAAGTCTCAAATTGGCTACTTAAAGACAATATCATGAATTTATAAGTAAAAAACGATCCTAAAATCTGCATTTTTGGAACTCATAACATATTATAAAATTCATAATTGATAAATCTAAATATATATATACACACACACGTAAGGTTCTATCCAAACGTTGAAGGAAGAGAATTGTGGCAGTGGCAAGTTGATGAGTTCATGACATAATCATCCTTGAACTGTTAAGGGAAGAAGATGAATGATGAGTTGTATAACAAACACACCCTTTTTATTTATTTTATTATTTTCTTTTTTGGAGTATACGAATATAAATACAAAAAATTCACTGTTTTCCACAATTATTTAATTCAGTTCTATCGTCAGAAGAATGAATGTGTGTCTAATTTTGATCCGTCCCTCTTTTTTTCTTTTCTTTTTTTAATAATTTTATTTTACTGCAAAAGAACAAAAACATGAAATTGAAACATAGAAGTGCAATTGGTTGTAGTCGGCGAAGATATTTTCATTCTAGATATGTGAGTGCTAGACTTGATCTAAATGCATTAAGAACTAATAGAAATCTCGTACCTGACTGCCTAGACTTCATGGATTAAGGTGTCAATAGATACTCAAAGCATCCATCAATCCCTGATTGCTTCAATTAAACTCGCCTAGATTTCCTAAGATATCTCCGACTCCATTTCGATCTGAATTTTGACTATTCCGGTTTCTATGGTCTTGACCCAAGCTTTGTATACATGAACTGGATGTTAGGAACCACGACCCATCACAATGGTATGATATTGTTCACTTTAAGACATAAATTTCTTTAGAAAGTCTCTTACCAATGGAAATAGTATTTTTTACCTGAAGTATACGATATTTCCCTTAATTAGCCAATGTGGAACATCTCTCCCAATAATCCTCAATATTGGTTGCCTCCGTTCAATATGCACAGTTTCTCGACATCTATCGTACTGTGGACGAGGCCTATTTCTACCACTTTGTTGTCTCTCGCGATAACCTTTCCAACAATAAACCGATCACCTGAAATCAAGATGAATGATTGGTACAAACAATGAGCATTGATTTGATATATCCACAGGTTTCAGTTTCAATTACAATCAATTCGATAGCGTTAGAAGAGTAAATCATCTCCATAACCTGTGTTTGGAATTCGAGATATGAATCAGGTAAAACCCATAGAACGCCTGCCAATTCTGTTTCATTTCGCTCAAAGTCAGATGACAATATTGTTCTTTACAAAAGCTAAATAGAAATCATCACAAAATAATGCAAACGTCAAACATTCATCGTGGTATAACACGCAAAACAATCAAACTAAAATCGAGTTGATCGAGTAGATTCAAAAGCAAACAACAATTGCGTGCTTCAGCTCAAACGCACACTTTCAATCATCAATTATAATCCAAGGTTTCAAGATGAGAAAATCTGATTGACAAGGCTCCTTAATCTTGTTCTTTACAAAAGACTAGTGTTTGAGCCAACACGTACCTTAACTAATATCACAGAGGACCTGACTTACTACCTTTAATCGGGAAAGAAACTAAGTAGGTAGCATTTCCTATAAACTGGTTGATCATTGGGCTAATTCATCACAAGATAACACAAACGCCAAACCTTAATGCTAGCAACACACAGATTATCAAACTAAAACACCAGTCAATTCTGCAGCAAACTTCAAAACAGAAAGGAGAATTTATTAACCATTCAAATTTGTATGGGAACTTTCATCAAACATATTCATGCGATTGACTCAAAACTACGCTTCAATCTTCAATTGCAATCTAAATAATCGACACAATTCCAATATCTACAAGACGAGTAAATCCGCTTCCTAGGGTTCCTTGATCTAACCATACCACGAATACGCACAAAATCGCCTTGTAAGAAAGCTCTTCCCGAATCAAGGCACCAAAGCCAGTATAGGTAGTTGTACTGACAGAGTATATTTCATTCTTCGCCTCTTCCTCACTGAAAATCAAAAGAAAGCGAAAAACCTAAAATCAACAGAGAAGAAAATGCACGCAAAAACATACCGAGAAGTAATCCATTTACAATCCGCTTTAATCCGAAGCCTGCCGACTACAGCAGCAAGAGTTTCGACATAAGAATCCACCATCTCCTCTTCCGTTGGTTTCGGATCATTTGGAAACTCAATCACAATCAGCCAGTGCTCGTAATCGCAGCCATGAAGGAGTATCGTCTCTTCTGGAGGTCGATTGCTCCAATTGGGAGAAGGATCGTCGAGTGGGGAGTATCCGGACCCCGAAGTTTGAAATCGAACCGGAAGATTGAATGAATTGGGGATTATTTGAGGCTGTCTTGTCACTCTAATATTACTCTGTACGTATTGCCCACGAATAAACATGTTTATTATTTTTATGTTTGTATGAACAAAATACTTAAATACTCATCAAATCTCTCCGACCAAATATATTTTATTATATACTTGTTTTCATTGCAATTAACTTTCAATATTTAATTTCAAGTTATTTTCAAAAAAAAATTCTGAACCACGTTTTCTAAAACCTTTTTTCTCAATACGTGATTTGAGATTCGACTATATGTTCGACTTTTTAGTTCACTTATTTGCTGGATTAGAATAAGGCGCACAATTGCTAGTCCGCTACTTAGAAAGTGCGATAGTGACATTGAGCAGAACAAAAGTGAAACGCAGACTAAGAATTAGGAGATAAAAGAAAGGTTGGATGGGAGATGGACCCAATTCGCAACATAAGGTCAATACGATAGACTTGTGGGATCTCTTAGAGTATGCATCGTATCTCATTACAATCGACATCTTTACATTCTAGCTTAGCACGTTTACTTTAGATATCCCTTTATCGGGATTCGTTAAATCTTTTACTAAGGTATCATATATACAAATTACGTGGACTCGATACCTAAAATACCCTCTATATATTATTTATTAAAACGGTATGCAATCGCACTAGAGCGTAAATTCTTTTTTGGGGAGTGCCTAAGAATGACACTCGCTTAGCTCAGCTCAACATCATACCACTTTGTCCTTGGTCACATGTACTCTCGGACCTTAGTCACATGTACTCTCGACCTTGATAGGGAACTAACGTGAACCTGTAGCCAAATTAAATATAACTCAATTATGATTAAATAACAGTTTTGTAGACAGGGAAACAAACTATTGACAGCTTCACATTTATGTATATTGCAGTTAAGTACCCATATTTATAAATATTTACATTGCGAGCACCTGTTCTAGACGAAAAAAGTGCTATATTGGGTTTGCATATACCCTGGCAGGAGTGTTATGGAGATTCCGCCGGAGGGTGCGACGACGGGACAGCGGTTCACGATCACCACCGGATTTTCTCTCATCTTCCACGGTGGTTGCTCCGCCGTACCCGACGGCTTGGCTGTAGCCGCCACCCGGTCAGCATGAGAAGCCTTAGTTTCTCCATCTCTCAGAGACATAATTTCCAACAACAAGAAAGACAACGAAACTTGTTCTATTTCCTTGGTTTGTTTTGGATTTGCTTTGTTGGTCCATTATATAGAGCGCTTGGAACTTTGAAGAAGCTTAATTTCCGACCATTTTTTTTCAATTCCGGACAATTTCCGGTCCCACAAATGGAACAATAACAGATTGCGATTTCTTTTATCATTTTGTTATTCCGAGAATAAAATAATGTCTATCCCAACTTTTAGGTTTATGTCATTTTTGTTAAAAAAAAATATCTAATAAATTATTAATTTTTTTAATTGGGTGTACACTAAAAGGATTGAGTAGTTAGGAATAATTACAAACCGTCAAAACTCACTGCTATTAAATATTTATGTTTTGATATGTTATACAAAGCTTTACCGTTTTAAAAATGTCTACTATGGAGAGGTTTCTACATCTTTATAATGAATTATTCGTTTCCCTCTCCAATCAGTATGAAATTTCACAATTTACTTCCTTGAGTGTCCAGCGTCTTCACTGACACATCGCTTGATACCTAGCTTTGATACCATTTAGAACGACCCACTTTTCAACGGATTCGAGCTACGGACTGTTATACACTAACGAGAAAATAAGTAAAAATGCGTGAAAAAAAATTGAAAAATTTAAGGATCTATCCGACGCTTTATAACAATAGAGTTGAAAGATTGAACCGTCAAACTTTTAGATGGGTATTTGTTCTGAATTACTCTCGGATCCAACTTAATAAAAGATATATGTCTTAACCAGTTGAATTACTTCAATTCTCAAATTGGCGACCGAAAGAGTAATCTTAAAAAGAGTATAAATATTTTTATGGAATCTCCAAATCCTAATCTCAAAACTTTGAAAAAGTTGATTTATTGTCACGCAACGATACAAAAGCAAAGATACTAAGATTTGCAAATAAAAGTAGAGTAAGTGTCAACATGGAATCTACTGGACGTTGGTTTTATTCCTATATACTTTTGGAATATTATGGAAATAATTTTGGTGTCTCGAACTATTCAACTTGGTTGGGTCCTAATCATTCGGCTCATTTGTTCTACTTTATCTAAATTTAAGTCGTATCGCACCGATAAATGTTTCGTTTCTCTCTCCAATCGATGTGAGATTTCACAATCTACTTCTAGAAAACCCAACATCCTCATTGTTACACCGCTCGATGTCTGACTCTGATATTATTTATAATGCCCCAAGCCCATCGCTTGTCTTTTTTTTACTGCCTCCCCTCAAGATTTTAAAAACACATATAGTGGGAAGTTTACATACTCTTATGAGAAATTTTTTATTCCCCTTCCCAACTGATGTGAGATCTCGATTAAGTTAAGTTGTTAGTGTATTTGAGTGATACTATACCTATATCATTTCAAAAATACTAATAAATTTGGAAGAGTATCATTAAAAAAAGATCAACAAATTTTAATTATTTATTTTTATAAAATTTAAACGTGTTTATAATTTTATGCGTATATTTTAAATAGGGTAATTTATTTATTTTTTAATGGAAGGATATTAATTAAATTTTTTAAAATTTTTAAGAGGATTTGTTAAATATTATTGAAAGTTTTAGATGTATTTTTACCTCCCAACCCTAAAAAATAACTAAAAAACATAAAATCCCACCAATTTCTCGGGAACAGAAATAACCACCATTCAAATTACGTGTCATTTTTACCTCCCATTTAGGAACAGAATTAGTTACCATTCAAATTACTTTCTATTTTTACCTCACCCTCCCCCCTTTAAATTCACCTTTCACCTCCTCATCCAAATCAGAGCCCAGGGGCAAATCAATCTTCCTTCTATATTAACCCCCGCCAGCTCTGATAAAAAAAAAAAAAAAAAAAAAAAAAAAAAACCCAAAAAGATATATATTATTTTTATCCAATAATGTCGAATGGATTTGACGCCGAAGGTGACAACAAGAAAAAGAAAATGGCCTTCGTAGGCGTCTCTTCTCTGTTCCTCGTGGCCATGGTCGTTGCCGTTACCGTTGGCGTTAACAACTCCTCACACAAAGGTGAAGGTCTCGGCGACGGTCATGGTGACGGAGCCGGAGAAATTTCTTCATCGACAAAAGCAATTCAAACTATTTGTCGACCAACCGATTACAAAGAAACATGCGAGAAGAGTTTAATGTCTGAAGGCAGTAACACAACTGACCCTAGAGAGCTTGTGAAAATCGGTTTCAAAGTTTGCATGGACCAACTTAACTCGGCGATTAGAAATTCTACCACGCTTCAAGCATTAGCCAAAGAACCAAGAACCAACCAAGCCCTTCAGAATTGTCGCGAGCTTCTAGAATACGCTATCGACGATATAACCGATTCATTCAACAGAATCGGCACCTTTCAAATGGCCAAACTCGACAAATTCGTCGAGGATTTGTCAATCTGGTTAAGTGGGGCCCTTACTTATGAACAAACATGTTTGGATGGTTTTGAAAACACCACTGGTGATGCCGGTGAACGAATGAAAATGTTTTTAAAGTCAGCTCAAGAAATGACAAGTAACGGTCTTGCAATTGTAACTGAATTGAAGAACATGTTGGGATCGTTGCAAGGATCCAAGGCGGGGCGTCGGTTGTTGGCCGGCGATGAAGTGCCGTCATGGGTTAGCAGCGAAAAGAGGCGGCTGATGCAGCTGCCTAGGTCGGCGATCACACCGAATGTGGTGGTGGCGCAGGACGGAAGTGGAAAATACAAGACGATTAATGAAGCGTTGGTTGATGTGCCGAAGAAGAGCAATATAACCTTTGTGATTTACGTGAAGGCTGGAATTTATAAGGAAACTGTTCTTATTCCTAAGGCTTTGACTCATGTTACAATGTACGGTGATGGCCCGACCAAAACCATCGTGTCTGGTGCTTTGAACTTTGTCGACGGCATTCAAACTTTCAAGACAGCAACATTCGGTAAGTCAATAAAAATCTTAATTTTGTTTATATTAAAAAATATTATCTTTTCTTTTAATGTTGTTTTTGTCGCATTTAATTAGCGGTTGTCGGAGCCAATTTCTTCTGTCGAGACATGGGGTTCGAGAACACTGCTGGCTCGGCGAAACATCAAGCCGTGGCGCTTCGAGTCCAATCTGACAGATCGATTTTCTTCAACTGTCAAATGGACGGCTACCAAGATACTCTCTATGCACAAACCCATCGCCAGTTCTACCGTGATTGCAAAGTCAGCGGCACCATTGACTTTGTTTTTGGCAACTCAGCCGCCGTTTTCCAAAACTGCAATTTGGTCGTCCGTAAGCCACTGGCTAACCAACAATGCATTGTCACGGCTCAAGGCCGGCTCGAGGCCCGCGAACCGACGGGTTTCGTTTTCCAAAAATGCCATTTGATGGGCGACCCGGCTTACTTGCCATTCAAAGCCGTCAACAAAGCCTACTTGGGCCGTCCCTGGAAGCAATATTCACGAACCATTATTATGGGTTCTGAAATCGACGATTTAATTCAGCCTGAGGGATGGCTGCCGTGGATGGGCGATTTTGGGCTGAACTCATTGTTCTACGCCGAGTTTCAGAACAAAGGACCGGGAGCTGACCTGACCAACAGAGTGAAGTGGCAAGGAATTAAAACTCTTACGGCGCAACAGGCCGCGGATTTCACTCCCAAGGTTTTTATCGACGGCGATGCTTGGATTTTGAACACGGGAGTTCCGTACTCTCCTGGAATGATGTGAAAAGGGAAACAACATGGCTGATTCTGCCACTTCAGCATTTAAATCTGATTAAATGTAACAGTTGCAAATCGGATCCAACAAATAAATTGAATTGGTATTCACATTTTCTTGCCTCTCTTTTTTTTGCTTAATTTTATTCATTAAAAAAATTCATAAAAAGTAGTTAAAATATTCCTTCAATTCACTATTTTAATTAATAAATAATGTATAAAAGCAGATATTTACAATACCAAACGTGTTCCACCACATAAAGTAGTTTGTTCACCGTTGCCCTCGAGGTCCGTGTTCCGACACGTCGGCCACTTCCCTCGACTCGTCGTCCACCTCAACCGGATTACCACGATCGGGTTCTTCCACAACTATCTCGATCGGGTTAGTAGAAGATTCGGGTTCCGATTTTACCTCGGATCTACAAAGCGGGCAGGTCACGTGCGAATAAAACCACATATCAATGCACCCCACGTGAAAGCTGTGATTACATTTGGGGATAACCCGCCCGGTTTCGTTCTCTTCGAACTCAGATAAACAAACCGCGCAATAAATCGGATCCGAGTCGGGTTTCGCCGAGTGAACGAATAGGGGCAAGGATTTGATAACCAACTGCGGCAAACCACGTGGCGGAGCGGCTGTACGTGGCTCAGCCGTGAATACAAAATGCGGACGAGGGCGACGGCGGGGTCGGGATGGCCGGCGGCTGGGGGAGAAGAGGTACAATCGAACGTAGAGATGAAAACAAATCATGAGAATAACGACGAACAACAGTACAATAACTACGCGGAGTATAATTCCGCTGCTGAGAGTGTAGGGCTTGTCTGACGGCGGAGAGAAGAAGCCGTCGTCGTCATCAGACGCGGCGGCGGCGGCCATTAAACGGCGGCGTTATCAATTTCAAAGGGGAAATTGGGAGAGAAAGGGAGAAAGGAAACTAGAGAAAAAGACAAGGAACAATAAATTTGGTGGAAAGACAAAGAAAAATGGAAGGAAACTACGTGGGGATTTCTCTCGTGTTTGGTCGTCTCTATAGGTCAAGAGGATTAGAACCGCTCTTTCTAATTATTTACCTCTGGCCCGATTTATTATTTTTCTTTAAAATAATTGCAATAATATTTGATTTACTCGTATATATAAGATTAATCTTTTTTCTAAAAAAAAGTTCAATATCAAGAATATTTGGGGAAATTTTGCTAAAATTAAATTTTAATCCAGAAAATTGCCTAATATGTTTGATATTCAAATTTTTTATATTTTTAATTGTTCAGGTTGAATTTGAGTAATAATAAAGATTTATTTTTCTGATACGTTAAATTAGGACGAGACGGGTGAAATGAGTGGTATGCTGATTATTATGAGAACATCCTTTTTAATAAAAGAAAATAAATAAATGGATAATAAAGTGGAGCGTTCCAAAGGGCCACTTATATGGGCCGTGGGTTTCACTATCTGGGCCCATTCGCCTTGTCCAAAATTTTGGATGTCTTTGACCAATAACGCGCCTTTCCTTGACACCGAGATCCTCTCTGATACGAACATGGCTAATTTCGTTTGGATTAACGTACCAACTCCTCGATTCTCAAAATAAAAAAATTGGATAATTTTTTGAGGAACATCTAGATGTCAATTATTAATTTGAATTCCTACCAAAATTAAGGTGGGTTTCAACTGGGCCTGTTTTGTCGGCCCATGAAGTTGAAATAGTATTAAAAGGGGAGAGATGGATAAGCTGGGGAGGGTCTCGTGGGAATGATGATTAAAATAAATAATGGGAAGAGAAATAATTTGATTTAATGTTTTTATTTATGAAAAAGAAAAAAAAAAGGGCTATAAAGTAATTCCCCTGAATGGCCTTTTTCAAATTCCCATTAAAACCCTCCACTACTGAGTTGATCTCTTCACCTTCCCCCAAAAGAAATGTCTTCCAAATCCCCTGTTTTCCCCTTCCCTGAACCTCAACACTTCAGCGACTATGGCTTCGACCCCCAAATCGACTATTTTCAGGTTCTTTTTTACTTCGTTTTAAGAAGATTATAATTTTTTCTATTTATTCATTCAAATGGGGTTTTTTATTTTTATTTTTCTTTATATATTTAGGTTTTGGAAGAAGCAAGGAAACACAGACGAGAGGGTTCGAGATCCATAGACTCCATTCATTTCAAGCTCCAAAAGCCTATTTCCAAAGACGATTCTATCAAAACCAAGAAGAAAAAACGGTGGTGGAAAAACGCTCTTCTCTTCTTCAAATGGAAATGGATTCACCACCAAAACGACGCTGTTTTCACCCACCACCACGACGTTCACCAAGCCAGAGCACGAGCTTTCCGCGCCTCTATCTCCGGTCCGGTTTACGTAACTGAAAGCCGTAGCGGTTCCAACACGCCGCTACGTTCCACCACCCGACCCACATCCGGTCCACTCGCCGGAACGCTAACGCCGACGAGAAAAACCGACATCCAAATTCCGTATCTCAGCCTCCGAGAACTGAACATGGAGCAACAACAATACAGAAACTCCACGTCAGCAGCCATGCCCATTTACTTAGTCACTTGAATAAAACATTAAACTAACCCTGTTTTTCAGGGTTGTCGATTTCGATTAAGATTATTAAAGGCAAGGAAAGTACGCTGTAAAGGGTGTTTTTTTTTTTTTTTTTTTTTTTTTTTTTTTTTTTTTTTTTTTTTTTT